AGCTCTTGTGGGGGCTATCTGGCCCCCATTGGGATGCCGTAACCCTTGTGTAGAGGCCAATTCCCCTTGTGTGGGGGCCAAATTCCCTGTTAGGGAGCCGATTCCCCTGTTGGGGGGGATGAAACCCTTGTGTGGGAGCCATCGCCCTTGTGGGAGGGTAGTAAAATATGTATTCATGAAACATGTATTTAGAGTTCACTTTATTATTATGACAAGAGACTTGCTTTAACACTGTAGATATATCAATAAAACATTGTCCAACTGATCACTGTCTCTGTCTTGTTTTCTCTCTCTCTTTAGAGTGGTCTTTTGTTTTACTTGTGGAGGAACATGGATTTGGGGGTATTTTACAGAGTGACTTCAAGATTTTATTTATCAGGGATTTTTCAGTTTTCCAATAGGGAACACCAGAATTGCTGCTAGGGAGGTCAGTGGCAGGAACCTGCATGCTCAGGGCTGGCACTTTGGACCCATCTGGCTGTGGCTGACCTCTTAGTCAAATGGGGCCAGGAGGACGTGCTTTGACAGTTCAAAGAAGGCCACCACACCTGGAACATTTTCCAGGCAATAGTTGCCCAGATGGCCGGGCAGCGGCCACACATGGCAATAGTGCCGCACAAAGGCAACCCTGGAACCACAGTCCAGCAGCTGGCCCAGAGGGGCAGATGCCTCTACTGCCTGTGTCATCCCTATCCAGGTTTGGCAGATGCACAGCAGGTCACAGCCAGGCAGCAGCCCCCACTGCCAGACTGCTGCATTGGGTAGAAGGTGCAGGGAACTCTCAGGGCTGCTTCAGCAGTTCAGCTGGCACAAGGGGTAGTGTCTCCAGGTACCAATTGGCTAGGCCCCAGAAGCTCCTGAGAGCTAGTAGCCCTGAGCTACTTGCCAGGGTGGCTTTTTATATTGCTGTGGCCAGGACAGGTCAGCTTTTTATACTGCTGGGGACAGCACAAGTGCTGGCCCTGGGCGCTAGCTCCCCCTGGCTGCAGATCCAGGAGGAGCCAGGCAGGGTTATTTTGCCCTAAGTGGTGCAATTTGCTCCACAACAAAGTGCATGTCTGAGCATGTGCGATGAAGCAAAAAGGCCCAGTTCAAATTTGCACCGCTTCTATTTGAGCTGCTGCAAGCACACGTGCTTGCATGTGTGGACACTCCCATCCAGTCCATCCAAGTGACTCTACACCAAGTCAGCGTCGACAGTTGGTGGGCTGGTGTCCCTCTGATGACCATCTAAGAATGCATTAGGAGACTTATCTTGACCCCCGTTCAGGAACACTGAGGCAAAAAGCTCATTGAATAGCTCAGGCTTGTCCTCCCAACCTGTCAGTAATTGCTCCTTCTTGTTCAGTAGTGGTCCTATGCTGCCCTGCACCTTCCTTTTACTCCCTACATACCTAAAGACGACTTTTTGTTGTCTTTAATTTGTGTTGCCAGCCTCAGCTCTGTTGTTGTTTTGGCCTTTCTAACTGCCTCTCTGCAAGTGCAGGCCAAGTAGGTATGCCCCTCTTTGGTAGCTTCCCCCTGCTTCCACCACTTATATGCCTTGTATTTTGCCCTTAGGCTCCCCTGGATTTCCCTGTTTATCCAAGGAAGTTTTTTAGCTCTTTCCCCACTTTCCCTTATGCTGGGATTGTCTCCCTCTGTGCCTGAAGGATCGCTTCCTTTAGGAACAACCACCTTTCCTGGACTCCCATCTCACCAATACTTTTATCCTGCAGTGCATCATTGACTAGACTCCTAAGCACACTGTGTTTATGTTTTTGATGTCCACATTTAAACACTGGGATGTAACGGTATGCATGTACCATCCTTGTGGAACAACTCAAGTCCCTTTAATGTATCAGGTTGAGCACCAAGGATAATTATTAATTGGTACAGAATTTATCTGATAGCTTACCTCACTAAACAGCTACAAGTTGCTAATCTGTTCATTCTCAACGGGGAATAATACTTCTGGTTGTGATGCATTGGACAACTTTCCAGAAAAGAAAGTCCAATTAAGACACCACAGAAGATTGAGGCTGGGGGTATCTGATGTACTCAACTATAAATAAGTAACTTGTTATGCTATTAGTCCCTACCTCTGCTAGGGGGATGTTCATCAAACACGGGAACACGTGGTCTCCTGAATCTGATATCTAGTCAGGCTTGAGCCATCCCAGTTAATCCCTTTGAAATCCTCACAGCTTTCTCAGAGAACCTGAATTCATCCGCTTTATACTTTATACACATACACTTTATGACTCTTAATTCATAACATTAAATGTAACCTAAAATGTATTCTTCAAAGGCCTGATAGCCCAAGATTTTCCAGTAAGGCCTATCTTGCTAAGTGCTGACTGTTTTCATTTTCCTCAGTTTCAGTGGGAAAAGAAAATACTCTAAAACTTTCAGAATTAGGCTCAAGGACTGAAGAAAGCTTAGACAATTTTACCTAAAACCACCCCTCCCTGCAGCCGACTGCTAAATAAGATGAGACTAAGAGAATCTAAGATAATCAAACCAAGCTATTGTCTCAAAGGCAAAGGATCATAATACAAGCTGTTATGATGCAACTGTTATATATAGATGACTGTGTAACAGTAGAAGCATTGGCGACGTGTAGGGGGTGCACATGGGTGCATGTGTACCCCTTGGGCATGGCAGTGCACCCCCTGCAGGCTGTCCATGATTGCCACTGGCCACTGCTGGTGGCATTTGCAGGTGGTCTCTGACCACTGGTTGGTGCTTACCATGCCCCTGCTGCCGACAACGCTGTGGCTGCTTGCGGGAGCTTCCTGCTTGCCACCACCACACCCTCGCTGCCAACAGCACCGCCGCTGCCTGCAGGAGCTCGCCATCCTCCCCCAGTCTCTGGGGGCATACAGCGAGTCTTAGTTGTACTGAGTTGTTCTCTGATGCTTTGATCCTTTCTTCAGGCCATATTTTCTATGGGTAGCAAAACACCCTCTAATTCTAACTCTGCTTCAATGAGAGTCAAAGTTAGGGTGATACAGGTAACTTGTCTCTCTAACAATATAATGCAAATGTAACAGAGCAACTGTTATGTGCACCTGAGCAGCATGATCCCCTTCCCTTTTAAACATCTAAATTGTTGAGTTGTCCATAACCTAACACTCAGTGTTTGGCAAAGGAATGCCAAGCTGCCGGCAGTTTGCAAAGCCATTCCAGTTTTATCTATTTCTAATATTTATGCATTCTGGTACCTGGTTACTGAATTCCAGACCCATATAAGTAAGCTCAGAGTTCATTTTAATTCAATTCTCACCAGACATTACACCCAAATAGTAATACTCTATTTAAAACCTTCCTTATTCTGCATGCTCTTTACTTACCAGTGGGGACAGCTGGATCCATTGTAGGCTTTTCCCAGGTGTTGATCTGTTCCCAGGTAAATCCATTGGTTCCCAATGCCACGCTATAACCACAGTTACTGTAGTGTTCATCAAATGAACAACCGCCTGAGGAAGAGAGAGATGAATGAATACTTCTATTAATTACTTCTGTCTTGTTATGTTATTTAATTTACATCAGTGCTTTTTATCTAAACTCTGCAAAATGAATTTCTGGCACATTAGGTTTCTGTTTTTGCCTCAGGGAATTCAAAAAAGACTTCTGGATCTCAAATCCTATTTTTGGTAAGTCTTATTTCTCTCGCTTGGATTGTACTGCTGTTTATTAGGCCAGCTGCCTTAGATTCAACCTCACATCTTAAGGATTTAAGCAGCAGTCTTGCATTCCAGGCATGTATACGATTATGCAGGGCTGAACCACACTAACTGCTTCTTGGAACATGTAACCAGATGTTCCAAAAGGAGGGTGAAGAGGAAATCCATATGGCAGACTTATAACCATTTTTCAAACAGTGAAGCTCTCCCATCATTTACACATTTAAAAATTCAGTAGGGTAAGGTTGGTGTCTAATCTCAAGACCATGTATCACACTTTCTGTAAATATGCCATTTAACCTTCTGGTACCATAGATAAGGACATAATGAGCCATCCCCTTGGCTCAAAGCCAAAAATGAGTATAATGTGAGTTAATTAAAGTAAACATTCACAATGGTAAGATACAATAGCTTGCTGTAGTACACAGTAAATGCTATTATAAAAAATTGCTTTTTTTGCATTATAACATTATTGTACTATTGATAGTACCCAACTTAGATCAGGACTCCCTTGTACTGGGTAATGTATGAACACATTATCAAACCTTTCATTGAATGTCATATTCGAAGTTAGCAAAAAAAGATCAAGAACCTATTACAAATTTCTACAACGGCCTTCTAGATACAGAGTAACTGACCTGCCTTTAGCCACATGGGAAGTCTGTGGTTGCAGAGTTCAAGCTATAGCAGACTGGCAGGACCAGTGCCCCAGTCACAAGTTTTTAATATTTCAGTAACTATTACAGAAAAAAATACTGTAAAATGTCAGAGGCTTGCACAGCTACGTCATTAATAGAATGTCTCACCTGCAGCACTAAGTTGCATTCTTGAAAATGCAACACAGTAACTGGAGACCAAATTGAAAGGGTTCTGTGATGGAACTGGAAGTGAGGAACTTCTGACTGTAGGTGCAGATGGCACATTTGAGTTTGGAGATAAAGGGGCAAAGAGAAATTGGGTAACAGTTTCATAGTAAATAGCACACCTTCCAGTACAAACTTTTGGCTGGAGAATCATTCAAGCTGTAGTTCACATTATTTTTGGAATTGGCTAATTGTCTTCAGGAAACTAGGAGTTGACTGAACACTTGAATAAAGAAATCTTCATGAACAATGGAATTAACTTGCCATCGTTAAAACAAATAAATAACTTCTGGGGTATTTGGCCAGCTCTGGTCAGGAGTATTACAAAACAAAATACATAGAATAATTTTACCTGGTATACAGAGCAGAAATCAAAATCTCTTGCTCTTTAATTAGTATGCAGTCTCTTTTGACATTGTGTACTTACCCCCTTAGATATCCATACTTAAACTACACAAGGCATACCTTCAAGAAGTAGTCTACCATATGGTGGCTACTAAAAATGGTCCCCCAAAGTCTGCAGCACTGGGATAACCTTCTGAGTTCAGAGGATACCTAGGGCAAGTTAGCCCTGCTTAAAACCAATCTTATTTTAGTCCACAAATCCCCAAACTGACTGTACTTTACTGTTCCACTGTGCGAGTCTTAGTTGTACTGAGTTTTTCCCTGATGTTTTGATCCTTTCTTCAGGCCATATTTTCTATGAGTCAGAATCACTGATACATAGATGACCTGGGGTGTCTTTGCAGGCTGGGTGTACCCCACATGGTGCAGAAATACAGCAATACTGTGCTAAGGTAAGAGAATAAAAAAAGTAGAACTGTAGAATTTCATGGCTTCAATTAAGTGAACTGTTAACAAACTATAAACGAATTTTCAAATGTTAATAAAAGCCTCTGTTTCAATAACAGGAGTTATCAGTTACAAACATAAGGAGCATTACAAGCAGAACCTGACCAATGCACACATTATAATCCCATGACCTGGCTGACTCCATTTCAGTACAGTTAATTGTAAAGGGTAAATAGGGGCTATATTAATGGGACTTGTTATATTTACAATACTCTGTTACCTTTTAGCATTAAACTCTCGTGCTGGTAAACCTCCTATAAATGTCCAAATGAACAGCTCATTAAATGGAATGTAACCATTCCCTTTACTTTCAATTTTATGCATTTACTTAGGTCATTCATTCATTTAGGTCAAAATGTTCACATTTAAATCATTAAATATGAGTATCTAAATGCATTTGTCCAAAGTTAAGGATCCTCCCAAGACAACTGTTATAGCTAATGACATGCAAGGGAGATGTAGCTGGCTAACACCACATCTAGCCACCTTTAATTCCCCAGCCCAAATGACCAAGTACTGATTTACAGCTGAGTCAACTACGAGCAGCCTTTGGTTCAAATGCAGAGTGAAATTTGAACTTATGTTTCTAAAGCTTCGGGAAAAGGTTAATTACTCTTTCACCATGCTCCCTAAATAAGTATTTTGGCACATATAGAAGTAGACTGATTAGTTAAAGGTTCTCAGCACTGAACAATGGATCAGAACAGATTCTCAGTAAGTGAGTGTATGACAGGGAGCATCAAACAAAATTACTCACATATGCTGAGCCTCTGAGTCATTAGTGTCAATACACTGTATCTATTACTTTGGCAGTGTCTCTTTAACAGCAGCAATCCTTCAAAATATTCCAGTTTCATTGACTGTATGTTCAAAGTGCTACAACTGACAATAGCAGAGGTACTGCTAGACTATTATATTTCCACAGTATGACCTAGACACTTCAATCAAACCAGGCCCAAGTGGGCTAGGCACTGTTCTGCATGAAGAAAATGACTGTTTCTGCCATGAAGATAAGCAGGAATAAGACAAAAGAGAATTAGAATAAGAAAAGATAACAAAATAGTAACATAGAAACATAGGAGCCCTGGAGCATCAGGTCTGGTCCCCTGCATTTGCAGGCAACAATTTGTCCAAAAATGTCTTCCGGAATGCCTATTGTGGGGATGGAGGGTTGGGAATGAGGGGCAGAGGACCAAAAATAAACTCTACAGCATAACCACATGTAAGAGTAGGAGAGATAAGAGTCATCCTAGGCCCATTTCTGCAATAGTAAAATATATTCAGATGATCCAAGGAAGAGGGCTACACCCAATATTTGAGAAGAAGGGAGAACAAACCTAGCAATCCCCATCAATCTGACCCAAGGGACATTTTTTTCCTGATCCCAAATCTGTGATTGGTTTCATCCAAAATGCATGAGCTATGCCCATCTGTGCCTCAGAGTTTTCTAAGTACAGGTAAGAGCACGAGCCTACCTCAGGCACTGGATCACCTCTAACTGTGGCCAGTGGTCAGTGATTCCAAAAGAGTCAGGAGGGGAAAAATAAGGTCAAATAATGTATTTGAAGGAGGGAAATGGGATGGGAATTTTTCATGTTTCCTAGGTATCAGCAAAACCCTGGAAATCAAACTAGATCAAATGTGTGTGGTCCTTGCTCAGCCAGAAGCAATAATCACAGTTTGACTGATCAACTGGCAGTTTATCACATGCATTATAAAAGAGATAAGGTCTGAGGAGAAGCTCAAAGGAGGATGAGGTGATGATTTCACAGAAATTAACTGAGCGCTGTTCCACTCATGAAAAAGGCAACATAGATGGAAGTTTGAAAGTGATTGTCTGAGAATCAATCCTTGCACTAGTCAAGGCAGGAGTCAATCTTGTAGTAATATATTTGGACTGAATAGATATGAAGGGGGAAACCATGGATGGCCTTGCAATTTAGGGCAAGAACATTTGTATTTGAAGAGGGAGACGTTAGTAGAAGGACTTGAAATTGCAGGTTGGGATACAGCAATAGGCATATAGCAGTAGTAGTACCTGGAACAGACTTCACAAAGGTGGACTTGCAGGAAATGAAGACAGAAAAGAGATTACAGAAGTCACGGTGCAAGATTATGGTTGGAGTGGGGTGGGAATGGCAGTGTGGATATATGTAAAAGTTTGAATCTTGGAGATGTTCTGTAAGAAGTGGAAGACACAGACAGAATTCAGATGTGAGGTTCAAAAGTTGCCAAATCCAAAGATCATAGAATCATAGAGATGTAGTTCTGGAAGAGACCTCTAAAGGTCATCTAATCCAACCCCCTGCCTGAGGCAGGATCATCCCTATCCAAACTGTTGTATAAAATCAATAATCTAAACTCTCCATAAACTACCATCAACCTTAACACAACACAGTACATAACACCCTAACCTGGCACGGGTAAAGCAGGGGAACCATGGCAGCCAACATTCTGCTTCTATCAACAGGTTGTTAATATATGCTCAAAAGATCCCAGAGCAAGGACTACTCCCCTTGCTACTGATGAAGGCAAAAACTTGCACAGTCCATTGCAACCTGACCATTGGGTAAAATTCCTTCCTGACCCTAAATATGGTGAATGACCTGGAGCAGAGGGGCAAGACCCTTTACCCCAGATCCTCCAGCTTTAGCCCCAGCAGGAGCACTGATACACCCTGTGGTGGGCCAGTAGGGGACACTCCAGTGCCGAGCCGCCCACCTCACTACACCTGACCAAAACCAAGCTTCGGATGCCTCCCTGGGGGTGCCAACTTCTGGCCAAACCTCTTCCTGGAGTATCATCACAAGGCTGGGGTAACTGATATCACTACCCAAGCTCCAGTCTCTGATAGGGCTCTGTGCTGCTGGGTGTACATAGACCCTGTAAAAGAGTAGGAAAGAGGTGAGCAGTGGAGTCCTACAAGGCTCTGTCCAATGGCTGTTCAATGTCTTCATCAGTGACTGGGATGAAAGTGTGGCAAGCACTCTGTCCACACTCGCAGATAATACCAAATTATGGGGTAAAGTTAACACAGTAGACGGTAGGGAATGAATCCAGGTGGATCTGGACAGGTTG